TAAGCTCGTTTATTGTAGTCCGTACAAGTCTATTCCATTATATTATGAATATGAGTAATCTATAAATATGAGTATTAAGTTACAGTGCAAGCCAATGAGCTGGCGTCTGTATACGGCTGCTCAGATGTGCTCGCGGTATATAAGAAATTAGATATTCTCCACTTATCCATGCAATCGGCCTTCTTGAAGAATCATTGTGATATTACTCTTGACTATCAACGCGGTGAAAAGTGGTGCAGCAATTATGGCATTATGGAATCTTGCCCCAGTTTCAGTTTTGGTGTTATCCGTGCTTTTCAGCTTTCTCGGGTACAGATGTCTGCTCTGTATGATCGCAGTATGGACAGAAGTAAAGCGAATCGTTCACATTCGGCGCACTCTTCCAGGTGCTCCACCTCATTGGCTGTTCGGCAATATCCTGCAAGAACCTGGACCCGTGACTCCTGGGTTTGAGTGGCATCGTAACATGCCTAAGACCTATCGAAGACTTTGTGTCTTTTGGATAGGATGGAAACCCATTGTCATACTGAACCATCCTGAATCTGTACGGAATGTACTCAATGACCGTGTTGGCACGGTCAAAGTAAGACATATTAAGACTTACTTGTATTGGATACCTTATAACGTATTTCATTTTGCGACCTAAAAGGTACTATGTCCCATTTGCAGATCAAAAAAATGAAAAGGCTCAATTCCAACGGTATTTGAAAGACAATACTAATTTAGAACTTCCCCCCCCCCCAAAAAAAAGGGGGCTTGAAAATGTCTTTAAGTGGGAAAATAACGACTATTAGTAATTGTTGTCGAATCGACTAAGGAGCTAGAGAGCCAGTAAGTAATAGTCTGATTTTTCAGACCATTGTACCGAATGGTCGTATGTTTTATGCTGCGCAAAGATCTAATCAGTTTAATTTTGGCCATTACAAGAAGTGGGTTATTGATGTAGACAAATGCACATGTACCATTTACAGCTCATTTTTTGTATCTTATTACCAAAGATGAAAAAAGCCAGTCAGTCACTCAATAGTGTCTGACAGTGAAGTTTAGCAAGTAAACTGGTTTTCTTGCATAATTTGAATATTAGGACACTGCTCAAGTTTAAATTTCACAGATAGGACATACATAACATATTCATAATTCCTGCAAAGTTCTATAGAATTTGATGTTGGCTGCAAAAGGGACATCTTTAAAACTTGTACATTTCATGATAATATGTACCGAAAAGAACGCCATTGCCTGTTTCCACAAAATTTAAGAAGACATTATGTCTGAAGAAGATTGCACAATCACAATTAACAATCACAATCCGACGAGTTTTCAGGCAAACATTCCAGGGGGCTGACCTTCCAGGGTTAATGACGTAATGAGCAAAACGTTTGGAAGGGGGGGGGGGACGGAAGAAAAATCTGCATCACCACCACTCTTACACGTTACATGCAGGCCACGCGGAACGTTTTTCAAAGTAGAGTATTAACGATCAGGTGGAGCGTAAATTTGGCATGGGGTCCAGTGCCTGAGCCTCGGCAGGGGGTCAAGGGGCTGAACCCTCGGAGCTCAGGATTTTTAGCCATTAATTTACGGTCAGATAATTAAGCATATTTGGATACCTTATTTGTGACACTGGCAAGCCACTAATTGGCGGAGAGTCCAGGGAGCAGAGCCCCCGGAAGCTCAGTAATTTTAGGTATTTAATTACGGTTAGTTGAGCATCCAGGGCCCTCTTTAAGGCTATTGACGTGGTCCAGGGGGCAGAGCCCTCGGAAGCTCAGAGGTTTTAATATTTAACTACGGTCAGATGGGCATCCAGGGGCCGCCTTACGGCCCTTGGTGGGGTCAAGGGGGCAGAGCCCCCGGAAGCTCAGGGGATTTAGGTATTTAATTACGGTCAAATGAGCATCCAGGGGACCGCCTTTGGGCCCTCGGCGAGGTCCGGGGGCGGAGCTCCAGTAAACTCTGGGGTTTTAGGCATTTAATTACGGTCAGATGAGCATATTTTGATACCTCATTTGTGACATTGGCAGGCCACTTACTTTTTTTCTCTCTCTCTTTCTTTTTTTCTTCTCTGTAATATACTTTTTCAAAAAGTGAGAGGGGCTCGAGCCCCCGAGCCCAGCCGCTTTGCAGACCGTGACATAAAGGCTTCTAAATAAGCATATTTTTCGCCCGACTGTAAATTTGGGAATTTCTAATTTTCCAACAAACGCATAAAAAGGTATGACTTACAAAACAAATTGAGAAAAAATACCGGAAAATCATGTCATTTCAGCAACATTTGTAAATCACTGGTATCGAATAAGAAATACCCCCCCCCCATCAGTGTTTAGGGTCTCATGTCTTCTTACCCCTATAACAAAAAAACAGACACGCTTTCCCATTCTCTCACAATATGCCCACGATATGCGCCCATTGATAAATATAGGTGGCATGCGCAATGTTTAGGATATTAAATTCCTGTTAACTTTCCTTTTCTTTGAATGGAATTTTATATGTGATTTACTTCAGGTTTTTATTATTGTTATATTTTTTTTTTTTTGGGGGGGGGGTAAAAATACAAACCATCTTTACTCCTTTACTCCTTTTTTTTTGGGGGGGGGGAGGGGGTTTGGGGGGCAAAAATGCGTTTCCCCCACCACTTTTTTTTTTTTTTTGGGGGGGGGGGGGGCAACTGCCTCGGTTTCTCTGGCGAGCGAAGTGAGCCAGAATTTACGGACTCCGACTCCAACAGCGCTAGGGCCATCGACAAGAGGCTAGTGTTATACAGGTATAGGCAAAGATGGCGAGCTGGCGACCTATTTTGATCAAACTACGGTGGATGAACTTTCGAAAGTCAACGGGGCATGAGGGTTCCAGTGAAAGAGCTAGTGTCAACATACGTTGGGGTGGGTGTGATTTTCGTAGTAAACCAGGGAGGTGAAAGAAATGAGTGGTAACTCTTGTAATCTATTCAAACGCATTCGTGATTTCTAAAGCTTAACAATGGGATGTGTAACATTCGACTTGGCTTTGAAGTTCCATGCTCCGAACCGCTCTTCCACTGCGGGGAATTTCGGAGGCCATGCACCAGTTTCACATTTATTACAAAATGTCAAATTACCGGCAAAATTTCAGTGTAGATTATAAACTTTAGTACGGGGAATGTAATGGGAATAGTGCATCAAACAATTTTTCCAATTAGTACTCCGCCCTTTCTATAATTTGTGTGCCAGAGTTAGTAAAAGAAAAATTAGATCCTGATGAAAATTCAATATTTTAGGATAATGCGCTAATTTGTGCGTGTTTTAATGCCCGTTATTTAATCCATAATAAACAATCTTCGATAACTATAAGTTGGCTAATGCGAGTTTTCGCGTGTTTTCTGTATTTTTGCAGTTGGAAAATCGATGAAATTACACAATTTTGTGTTCGCTTGCTCTACTCATTACACATTTACTAATTGATGAGAAATCAATGAAGGGACAGCGAACAGTTTATGTGATACCATTTCTCATGTAGGAAATCTAAATCCTGAAATGTCATGCGCTCTTTTATTTCACCACCTGGTCAACAGTTGCAGATTAGCGCATATAACTTTTCGGCGGCTTGGAGCATGGGGTCAAAGTGAAATGATGGACCCACAGAAACCATTAGAAAATATCTATTGGACCAACACAAACCATTAGAAAATATCTCTTGGACCAACACAAACCCACAGAAAGAAATGCTGATGGACCAACAGAAAGCTTCTATTGGACCAGCATCCACCCATGTCTTTTATGGGTTTCTGTTGGTCCATTAGATATTTTCTTCTATGATGGGTTTCTGTTGGTCCATTAGATATTTTCTATGGGTTCCTGTTGGTCCATTAGAGATCTTTCTATGGGTTTCTAATGGTCCCATATTCTGAATTCCCTATTGAAACCAATAATCCAATGGCTTCTATTGGTAAATCAATAATGATAAATCAAAACCGACTTTAGCAACTGTCCACCAAAAAAAGTATATTCTAATCTCAATTGCATTAACTTCATCACATAGATCATTTGAAGTGAGTTTAAAAATATCTTTTATTTTAAATGAAGGCTTGTACTATTTTATATAATAAACATACATGAATTGTTTGTTGGTTAGTAATCATTATAATCAATATATCTATTGCTAAAACGTGAATGAAATTGTAACTTGATTAAACATATAGATCTAGATCTAATCGATTGGTCATTAGTTGCCGAAAGAAACTAAAAATCACAAAATTGATGTACATTGTCATAAGTTGCTTAACAAATTATGATAAATGTAATTTTCTTTGAACACGTATAAAGTAATCATGAATATGCATGAATAGATTTAGCTGTTGGTTTCTATTGGTTTCTATTTGTCCTATTGGGTTCTATTGGTCTCATTGGTTTTCTATTGGTCCTATCGGTCCTATTGGTCCTATTGGTCCTATTGGTCCTATCGGTTCTATTGGTTTCTATTGGTCTTATTGGTTTCTATTGGTCCTATTGGTTTCTATTGGTCCTATTGGTTTCTATTTCTATTGGTTTCTGTGGGTGCTATTGGTTTCTATTGGTTTCTGATGGTTTGAATGGTCTCTATTGGATTCAATTCTATGGGTCCAACAGAAACCAATAGACTCCAACAGAAACCATTAGAGACCAATAGAATTTTTCTAATGGTCTCTATTGGTCTCTATGGGATTTTCGACCTGGGATCGTTGTGCTTTAATGGTTTCTTTGTCATAAATATGCGAATTGAAAATAAGCTCGTTTATTGTAGTCCGTACAAGTCTATTCCATTATATTATGATATGATTGCATATAGCTAATATGCACTGATTGCATCTGAGTATTAAGTTACAGTGCAAGCCATGATGAGCTGGAGTCTGTACACGGCTGCTCAGATGTGCTCGCGGTATATTAGAGATTAGATATTCTCCACTTATCCATGCAATCGGCCTTCTTGAAGAATCATTGTGATTATTACTCTTGACTTTCAACGCGGTGAAAAGTGGGGCAGCAATTATGGCATTATGGAATCTTGCCCCAGTTTCAGTTTTGGTGTTATCCGTGCTTTTCAGCTTTCTCGGGTACAAATGTCTGCTCTGTATGATCGCAGTATGGACAGAAGTAAAGCGGATCGTTCACATTCGGCGCACTCTTCCAGGTGCTCCACCTCATTGGCTGTTCGGCAATATCCTGCAAGAACCTGGACCCGTGACTCCTGGGTTTGAGTGGCATCGTAACATGCCTAAGACCTATCGAAGACTTTGTGTCTTTTGGATAGGATGGAAACCCATTGTGGTACTGAACCATCCTGAATCTGTACGGAATGTACTCAATGACCGTGTTGGTACGGTCAAAGTAAGTTATATTTAGACTTTCTTGTATTAGATACCTTATAACGTATTTCATTTTGCGACCTTAAAGGTATACTATGTCCCATTTGCAGGTCCAAAAAAATGAAAAGGCTCAATTCCAACGGCATTTGAAAGACAATACTAATTTAGAACTTCCCTACAAAAAGGGGGCTTGAAAATGTCTTTAAGTGGGAAAATAACGACTATTAGTAATTGTTGTCGAATCGACTTAGGAGCTAGAGAGCCAGTAAGTAGTAGACTAATTTTTCAGACCATTGTACCGAATGGTCGAATGTTTTATGCTGCGCAAAGATCTAATCAGTTTAATTTTGGCCATTACAAGAAGTGGGTTATTGATGTAGACAAATGCACATGTACCATTTACAGCTCATTTTTTGTATCTTATTACCAAAGATGAAAAAAGCCAGTCAGTCACTCAATAGTGTCTGACAGTGAAGTTTAGCAAGTAAACTGGTTTTCTTGCATAATTTGAATATTAGGACACTGCTCAAGTTTAAATTTCACAGATAGGACATACATAACATATTCATAATTCCTGCAAAGTTCTATAGAATTTGATGTTGGCTGCAAAAGGGACATCTTTATCTTTAACTTGTACATTTCATGATAATATGTACCGAAAAGAACGCCGTTGCCTGTTTCCACAAAATTTAAGAAGACATTATGTCTGAAGAAGATTGCACAATCACAATTAACAATCACAATCCGACGAGTTTTCAGGCAAACATTCCAGGGGGCTAACCTTCCAGGGTTAATGACGTAATGAGCAAAACGTTTGGAAGGGGGGAGGGGACGGAAGAAAAATCTGCATCACCACCACTCTTACACGTTACATGCAGGCCACGCGGAACGTTTTTCAAAGTAGAGTATTAACGATCAGGTGGAGCGTAAATTTGGCGTGGGGTCCAGTGCCTGAGCCTCGGCAGGGGGTCAAGGGGCTGAACCCTCGGAGCTCAGGATTTTTAGCCATTAATTTACGGTCAGATAATTAAGCATATTTGGATACCTTATTTGTGACACTGGCAGGCCACTAATTGGCGGAGAGTCCAGGGAGCAGAGCCCCCGGAAGCTCAGTAATTTTAGGTATTTAATTACGGTTAGTTGAGCATCCAGGGCCCTCTTTAAGGCCATTGACGTGGTCCAGGGGGCAGAGCCCTCGGAAGCTCAGAGGTTTTAATATTTAACTACGGTCAGATGGGCATCCAGGGGCCGCCTTACGGCCCTTGGTGGGGTCAAGGGGGCAGAGCCCCGGAAGCTCAGGGGATTTAGGTATTTAATTACGGTCAAATGAGCATCCAGGGTCCTCCTCGGTGAGGTCCGGGGGCGGAGCCCCAGTAAACTCTGGGGTTGCCAAAACCTACTACTTCTTTAACTTAGGATAGATACAACAAAGGCCTCAAGATTATTTAACTGTTTTCAGTGCAAGATTAATCTTTTCCCGCGTTAAAAGGGTTGCTATGGCGCTATAATCGAGACAGAAAATGAGTAATTTTGGAAATCCATTTATTGCGCAAAGCGGTCCTTCCTTCAATTGGTGACTATTGTTTTGTGCCAAAATGCACATGTGGCAAACGAGCGATCGTGCAGAAAGATGAAGAAAGCAACAATCGGAGTGTGAACGTGAAATAAACGTAGAGCAATAAAAGGTCATTATGGTAAACAATCGGAGTGTGAACGTGAAATAAACGTAGAGCAATAAAAGGTCATTATGGTATAGATGAGGAAAAATACCTCGGAACATATCTTGGCCTTGTATAATTCAGATTCTGATTACTTTTATTGGTCCATTGTGAATTTTAGTTTGTCGACATTACATAAAGCATATGGAAACATGGATATAATTTTATCGTTTTTACATAGTGGAATATTATTAGAAAATAAATGGACTTATAACAATTGAAAATGTACGCTTGCGTAGAATTCGGAATATATTAATATTATTTTTATTATTATCATTTTTAGTATTATTATAATTATTATCATCATCATCATCATCATCATCATCATTATTATTATTATTATTATTATTAATGTTATCATCATTATTATTGTTGCTATTATTATTGATTATTGTCATCATCATCATCATCAATTTTTTTCTCGTAAATTAAACGGTATATAAATAAAACTTGGAATAACATATGATATCATAGGGTATTATTTATTTTCTTTGCTCGTGAGACTGGTACATTTGGTTGAAAGGAAGCGGTACAATGCAATTGATAAATAGCGAAGTGGCAAGATACAGGCCTATTCAATTGACCTATGCTAGCATGATTGGCTATTCTCTGCAATATCTTGAAATGATTGAAGTGATGGTGCTCATTCTGAAGAGCAGATGAAGAACTGCATCTTGTGCTTTTAGAATGAGGTCAGAGAAATCACAAACTTGATATCAATCCTATTGAGACTGCATGGACATACGTAAAATCTTTTATTTTGGGCAGTTCCATGGTATTTTGTCACTTTCGTTACCGGTATACTAGATGATTTGATCAAAATGTCATTCCTACTGGAACATGGTTGTCACAATATATAACGTGAAAAAATGGCACTTAATAATAACTTTGTTTAGATTCTCCCTACTAGGACTTCTATAGTGAGGCATTAAACACCAAGTCACCAAATACATTTGACCCTAATATTTGTTTTGTTTTGTTTTGTTCGTCTGACAGAGTGACGTGTATAGACTATTTGATGAATGGCTTGGCGACGGTTTGGTTACAACAGACGGCAAAGTATGGAAGAGACATCGGAGACTCATTACAAACTCTTTCCATTTCAACGTTCTCAAGAGTTATATCCATAAAATGAATCAGGTATTATGATAAATTTATTCAACATTATTGAGTTCTTTATATTTTTGTAGCAAGTTTGTGTTGGAACAATAATTATTGTCATATCAGATATCACCAGATACACGTTAAAGATTTATTATTAAGACTATGTTTGTATTCAACATAGTTCGTAACCTCGGCGTCACTGTTGATAATGTATTGAATATGAAACAACACATCAGGAATACTTGTCGGACGGCTGCCTTTGGTATATCCATGATTAGTAAACTTCGAAAATATTTGGACAGACAGTCTACAGAACGATTGATCCACGCTTTTGTGACTTCCCATTTAGATTATTGTAACAGATTGTACTTTGGCTTGCCAGATTCCACCACTTCTCCACTCCAACGTATTCAGAACATGGCAGCCCGTCTCATTACCAAAACCAGAAAATATGAACACGTAACTCCTATTCTCAGATCTCTTCATTGGCTACCTATTTTAACCCGCATTCAATTTAAGATTCTTTTGTAGTTTTTAGTTAGTACGGAGATCGTACTTTTGCCATTGCAGCCCCTAAATTATGGAACAGTTTACCTATTATTATTCGTCAATCCCCATCTGTAGAGTCTTTTAAGGCAAGTTTGAAGTATTATTTGTTTACCGGTAATAGTAATTTATAGGGCAGTTTAATTATCTGTAATGTTGTTATTAGAATTATGTATTATTATTGATGTATGTTTATTATACGTTGTACCTAATTACTTGTATGTTAAGCGCTTAGAAACATTGTACTAAGCGCTTTATAAATGTAATTTATTATTATTATTATTATTATTCAGATGATAGGTGACATAATTGGGTTCAGTCTTTGTTCATTTTGCTATATTCTGCATATTATTAGTATGTTATTCATCTGCATCATGATTTGTATAGATTGTAGTCCTCTCGAATCAGTGGCCCCAATACACCAACAGGCTGTACACGACTTATACTAATGCTCACGACTATATATATATATATATAAAATATAGATTGCGGACACCCTGATTTCAGTGATCTCACAAAGAGGTGCGGCGGGAGAGCTCCTCGAACTCCACAAAACCACGAGTGCTTTTTCCAGTGACGTCATCTTACAATGTGCCTTTTCTTACGAGTCAGGCTGCCAGGAGGGTGTCTCAGAATACATGAAATCTTTATCGACCCTGGGTACCATTTTCATGAAGAGGTACGACACAGAAACATAACTCTTGCTAGCAGGGGCGGCGATCCGGGGGGGGGGGCGAGGGTCGACAGTCTCCCCTTCAATTTTTTACGAAAAAGTGAGAAAAAATGTATTGCAAATACTGACTAAAGACTTCAACAAACTTTTAGGTTCTGGAGGGCCAAAGAGTGCGCGTTTAGACTAATACCAATGCACAATTCTTCGCGCTTCTAGTTACGCTTCCTCGCATAATATACTTTAAAATGTACGAGTAAACATTGTAGAAAAGTGAACCGTGAAAAAAAAATTGTTTTTATACAAAAGTTTTGGTATTAAAGGAATGTAATTTTTTAATACAACAAAACCTGTGAGTTGGTAAAGTCACTTCCGTCACCTTTACCCCTCTCGTTCACTATGCTCCCTCGCACTAGCGTACTGATATTGGGGAGGGGTAGTTGCCCCCCTCCTCCCCCGCAATAAAATTCAAACGTTGTTTATTTCTAATTTGATACCAGTGATTTACAAAAGTTGCTAAAATAGCATGATTTTTTTTTCCCTGAGCTTCCGAGGTCTCTGCCCCCCTGAACCCCACCAAGGACCCTTAGACAGGCCCCTGGTTGCCCATTCGACCGTAATTGATTGCCTTAATCCCCTGAGCATTCAGGGGCTCTGCCCCCTGGACCCCAACAAGGGCCCTTAGGCGGGCCCCTGTATGCACATTTGACCGTTATTAGATGACTAAACCCCCTGCGCTTATGGGGGCTCCACCCCTGGACCAAACTCCAATTAGTGACCTGTATTCCAGCGTCACAAATAAGGTATCAAAATGTCCTGATCTGACTGTAATTAAATGTCTAAAACCCTTGGGCTTCCGGGGGCTCTGCCCCGTGGAACCTGCCCCCAAATGTTGTTGCTCATTACGCCACTGCTCCCTCGTCCCTCGCATCCCCCCCCCCCGGTCATCAAAAGAAATCGCCGCCCCTGCTTGCTAGCATTCTGACTACATGCAAGACACAGTGGAAGATATTATTTTCCCAAACGTTAACGACTGGATCTTCTAATGTAGTATTTCTGCTTATGAAATCAAATTGATAGCTCTGCAACAGCTTCGAATCATTTGCTTACTAAACCTTAGAGTAAGAGAAATTGCATTTTCGCGGTCAACTGACGTTTGTTCCGTTTCCATTATATTGTTCCTGGTAAAGTACGGGACAGCAAATTACCAATTATCTTAGAATTGTCCATACGAAAGATAAAATTTCAAATGGATATTTATCATTTGGTGATTGTGTGTTGGCCACATAATGTGAAAGGAGGAAGTACACGAGGATGAACAAGCCTCATTTACGAAAGCTTGTTTTTACAGGGGTGTACTTAGTTTTTACTTGTTAGTATAATTGTTTTTTAAAGTAATAACGATGGTTACTTTAATCTATAGACCGCTTGCTCGGTGCTTGTAGTCTTTTATCTTTTTAAAGAAAATCACTTGTTTCGTTTTTCTGATAGGTAATAATTGAGGTCCAGTGCTTTCGAGAACCGAATCGTTACTTTGAAGGAACTATTGCTTAGGGTAGGATACCTAAATAGAACTACGTTGGATTATATGGTACATGGTAGTGGGCCAGGTGCGTAGAAGGACCCAATGTCAGTACCACCCAATGTTGGTTATGCCACTGCAGATACAGAGACTGTTCGATGACACTGGGGCGTGTGCCCCTCAATCGAGTGTTGAAACAAAAGGGAGAAAAGAGAAAAAGGGAAAGGGACGGGGGGAATTGGATCGCTTCCTTCCCCCTCCCCCTCCCTCCTCCCCTCCCCCTCCCCCTCCCGTCCCCTCCCCCTCCCCCTAATAAGTTGTACGTTCACAATTGATTTCCGAGAAAAGACCGAGTCCTCGCTCGATCACCAAAGGGTGGGCTCACGCAACGTAACTGCTGACTTATATGTTCTTGTTGAAGGTCTCTGAGCCCACCCCTTCTCTACGACTTCATCTTCCGACGATCTTCACTCTACAAGTCTTGGAGAAAAGAGATTGACGTCCTTCATAGACTTCAGGAGAAACTCATCTCTGATCGTAGGGAGCAACACAGACAGACCGGATGTACGGTAAGCAGGAACTAAGGTACAAATGGAACAGGGGAGCGATTTTTGTATAGTTTCACATTGCCAAATAATTAAAATGCGATGCTCACAAATGTGGTGCAGCGAAATGAACAGAAGTTACACCAACCTTCTCCATGTTGTTAACAAGTCATGTGACAGCGCAAAGTTTCCAACATTCGACACAAAGTTAATCTCGTTATAAACATAGCAGGGTATGGTGTGGGTATGGGAGGGATGTGTGTACGAGTGTATGTGTAAAATATTCAATAATAACATTCGTTTGCATTGTATGGCTTTATTGGGGGAGCGTGCGTGTGTGTGTGTGTGTGTATGAAATGCCTAAATAAATTCATTTTTTTATATAGGAATTTTCCAAAGGCATGGATTTCTTGGATACTCTCATGTTGGCAAAGGACGCAGAGGGCGGACTAACGGATAGAGAAATGAGAGACGAGGTAAGTATATGAATCTTTGGAGGCCAATAATTGAGACACATCTATTTCCCTTTCGTTTTGTTTAAAGTAGAAAACATAGTAGAACATATACAATGGTTACACCAGCAAATACAAACATTAAGTTTAATCCGCCATACTCAAGTCGTCATGAAAATTTAAGCAGACGTCTTTGATTTGTACTACTCAACAGGACATGATCAATACTACTGAACCCATAATTTAAAAACGTCCAGTTGGTTTTTACCAAGAATAAGGAAATAATCAAACACAGTATTTGTATCATTTTATCGTGGAAAGGTAAATACTTTCCTTCTCGGCGGGATTGATACAACGTCTAGCGCCCTCACGTGGTTGTTATACTTGTTGGCTACTCACCCAGAATACCAGACCAAGATCCAGGAGGAAGTTGATGAACTCTTCCAAGATCGTGAGATTCGTGAAGTTCGCCGGTAAACAAATATGCCTTATTTAGAACTAGGTCCTGTTCATTGGTTTGAATGATATACAGACAGTAACTTGACACCTGCACAATGAGGAACGTTAAGGAGAACAAAATTTGTGATCTTATCTATTCTTGTTATGTTAGTGTAGAAGAGCATCATATAAAAAGCGTCCCCTGAAAAGGATGGCTCTTTAAATGCCCTTATATTCTAAATATGACATGTTAAAGCTAGAGATTGTGAGCCATATTTTCATGCCACATGTCTGTGTAATCCCATGAATACATTTCTATGTATAGTGCATGGGGCTTTTAGCAAGACTGGGCCAATTTATATTATTAGCATTTTTATGTTTCCTTAAAACCTCACGGTATACACTAATTTTTTTCTCTCTTTGCCTCTTAGAGATGTTTATTCAATATTCAAACAGTAACATAATTTTGCTTACAATAATAGCAAATCAATGGAACATCAATAATACACGGTATACACTAATGACTGTGTGCTAAATCATCAAACCGTTTTCCACTTGCTTCCACAGAGTTTCTGTCACAATACAATGGCATGACTAGAACTCAATTCTATGTAAAGATTCAATATTTCGAAATATATATGTATGTCCTTAAAGATGAAGTTGAGTTCTGGTCATGCGATTTCATTGTAAAAGAAACGGTGTGGAACCGATCAGAAAAGGTTGATCATCTAGCATATAAGAATTTGTGTGTATTGCAAGGTTTTGGAATCAACAAAATGATAAGAAATTTGGTCAAGTCTTGGTAAAGTTACAAACACTGTACACAGAAAGATGTATATGGGACTACACGAACAAGTGGCGTAAAAAGCCGGGCCCCCCCCCCCGATTTTTACGATGTTACATGCATATTTAGAATATGAAGGCATTTGAAGAGCCATGCTTTTCAGGGAACATGTCTTATTTGATGTTCTTCCACACTTGGATAATAAGAATGAGTAACGCTCACAAATTGTTTTTCACCTCTTCCCAGAACTCAACCTTCTCTTTAAAAGGACTGTTCTTCTTCTTCCGGCAATAGTTCTAAAAAGAACTGTTAATATATAGTAGAGTTTTAACGTTTTGAAGAGTCTGCTCATCGTTGTCTCTATTGACGAAGAAAAATCTCAATTTGGCGCAACCTTTGACGCATCATACAGTACAAGTCAAACAGTGCAAACGTTTAAACTAATTATGGTTGGCACATGCACTTATATTCTAAAGTCAAGCTAATTGAAAAGCGCTGGTGAGAGAACAGTCTAAATGACACCTCGTGTGAAACAGGTATTAAAACTATACATAAAAAACTATAATATTTGTCCCTATGCAGTGAAGATCTCCATCGTACTCCATTTCTGATGAAATGTGTCAAGGAGAGTCAGCGCATGTACTCGTTCGTATCCTCAAGCCGCTTGCTGACCGAACCCCTGGTCGTCGACGGTCTAACAGTCCCAGCAGGCACCGATCTTGCCATCTACCCCTATCAGCTCCATCACAACCCTGACGTCTGGAGCGATGACCATATGACATTCAGACCAAGTCGTTTCGACCGCCAGAACGTCGAAGGCCGAGATCCGTTCGCTTTCATTCCCTTCTCCGCAGGTGCTCGGAACTGCATCGCGCAACAGTTCGCGCTACAGGAGATACAGGTAGCAGCGATTCGGATTTACGACAAGTTCGGCTTTACTTTGGTCCGTGACTCCACACCAGTCTTTCGGATTGTTAGCGTACCAGAAGATGAAATACTGCTAGGTATCCATCCTCGGAGAGAAACATAATTTGGTATACTTCCTTCGATTAATTATTACTGTCACCATTATACGTTTAAGTAACTGTTTTTCCACGAAATAAATTTTTAGTTTACTGCTAGTTCTTTTGCAATGGTGAGGTAGAGTATGACTTAATTAGCTCCAAGATGAAATGACTGCACACAGTTTAACTGGATGTAGAAGTTTATTACTGATTAAATTCGGATGGGATCATTCTGTGAACGTTATACATTTTTATGAATAATTTGTTGGTGATTTACTGATTTATTCTTTCTCAATTTTCCTCTCGATGTTTAAAGAGCAAATTAAGTGCTTTAGATATTTTTATATTGACCATTTAGTATAGTTACTACGATGGTAAAACTATCCCCGCCTAGCTAGCTGTTGATATTGCATTATATATTGATGATTTGATTTATATTCCACCGTAAAAGCATGCCATAGATAGAGTAGAAATATATATGTAGGAAATCTCACTTCATTATTACTGCATGTGCAGATTGTATTGCTATTGCTCTTGCGACAACTGCTCTGCGTCGATTTCTTTCACTAACCGAATTCGCACCTTCAACCCAGGAGCCAACGCTATACCTAACCCAACCATAATCCTAAAATAAGAATGAATTACAACCCTAAATGTGATCACATACATTTGATGAAATCAAGCCCGGAGCAGATGTCTCACGAGCAAATATAATTATGATTTGTACATAATATCCGGGTGCTGTTCCTAATTTCATCTTTTTATTTGTAGCTTCTTTCGAAGATTTTTCGTTTTTTATGATTGAAATTTCCTACAGCAACAATCTTAATTTTTTAGTGTTTAAGGATCTTTGTTTTAAAATAGAAGCTGATGGAACAGGTGATGGAAAATTGGCTTCAACGTACTGTATTATTGCATTTATATATTCCCTGTGGGAAATAGGAATATTTTGAAATTTCAGGTATTTGTACTTCGTTTAAAAATAAATTGTTAAAGGGAGTCTGTATCACAATTTTTTGATGAACGATAGTTCTGCTTTCATAGCTACATGTACTCTGGTGATAGATTGGTTTATTATTTACATTGCAAAATATCATAGTGTTACAGTGTAATGTTTAATAAAGCTTTCATAGTTTCTCATAAATGTATGTAATTCTATTTTGTAAATAGGCACTCTCTGTGCAGAAACAGACGTACAGATTCTCATCTATAATTTTTCCTCTTGAATTATATTTATCGGATGGCATTTGTATGATTTGTATACGTAAATACTTTAATATAAGATAAAATAAGATGGACTTTAAAATATATATCTTTCTCTTACCTTTCCTTTTTCGCTTTCCGATTCTCATATCTCTCCGCGATGTCTTATGTTCATGGTTATAGGTTGCGTCTTTCCCCTGAACCATAATTAGCCTCATTAGTAGCCATGCATGGTAATTCGTATTCCACCCACTGAGTGAGACCGGTGTCTCCCCCCACTCCCCTACACACACACACACACACACACACACCTACAAGCTACCCCCCCCCCCCTCTTCATGATGCCAGCGCTCCCTCAAAGGTACTATGTCCCTTTTGCAGGCCCAAAAAATGAAAAGGTTAAATTCCAATGGCATTTGAAAGATAATACTAATTTAGAACTCCTCTTTAAAAAAAGGGGGCTTGAAAATGTCTTTAAGTGGAAAAATAACGACTATTAGTTGTCAAATCGACTTAGGAGCTGTAGAGCCAATAAGTAATAGTCTTGATTTTCAGACCATTGTACCGCATGGTCGTACGTTTTATGCTGCGCAAAGATCAATCAGTTTAATTTTGACCATTATAAGAAGTGGGTTATTGATGTAGAAAAATCCTTTACAGCTCATTTTATGTATGTTATTACCAAAGAAGAAGAAAAAGCCAGTCAGTCACTCAATACTGACAATAGTGTCTGACAGTGAAGTCTAGCAAGTAAACGGGTTTCCTTGCATAATTTAAATATAAGGACACTGCTAACGTTTTAATTTCACAGATATGACATACATGACATATTCATAATTCCTGTAAAGTTCTACAGAATTTGAGGTTGGCTGCACAAGGGACATAGTATCTTTAACCCAATATCAGTGTAGTGTCTCCTCTCAGTGGTGTTTTAGCATTACCTTTTGATTCAGAATATTATAAATTCCAGTGCCAGTACGTCACTGTTTGAAAGCTACAGTTTCAGGAGGAGAGTTCTTGACTTCTAACAAAAAATAATTTAACAATTGATATTTTGTAACAGGATTTTATTCCAACCTCATACTTAAAAATAGAATGTATCATTACGATTTGATGTTTTTTTTTTTATAGTAAACATAATACGTTAAAGATTTGGTTTTCAATTAATGCATAACCTATTAACTAACAATATGAATTGATTCATTTCAATGAATGGTCATTTCAGTGAAAATACAACTGGGGCTGGTACAGAAATCTAAAATCACAACGTATTTGCAAAGTTTTCTCTTTCTTCTTTCAGCTCTCCTGCATCATAAATACCGTTTTACAACTTGGAAGCCGGCATGACTTTGTGTAGATGATTTTAAAATGTTGTCTCCTGGTACCAAAAAGATTGATTTTACGACATCAATGATCTCGGCTTTGATCTCTCGACATCCCGTCCCCATGGAAGTCCAAATAATGAGATCCACTATCCTGTCTTTTGTACTCGTCTTCTGATGCTAAGGGCAAGTCGACATTACGACATCTCGCAATCTCGTCGGTCTAGATGGTGAGCTTTGCTCTTCATCTAACCATCACAGATAAGTCAAATTGACTTGCCTCAGATCACCGGTGACGTTTACTCGTCTTCTTGTCCCCAACAGGTTGGGTTGAAGAGATGGTGCATAGGAAGATCCTTTCAGTCTTCTTTCTGTCTTATATCTGTCTCCTGAATACTTCTCCGATAGACTGTCATCTCCTTAGAGATCTCCATGGTGGTCCTATGAGTCATGACCGATCATGGTTCTCCACTATGTTCTGTCTTGAGCCATACGGTTGGCTAAGGCGAGTGATAAACCTTTTACCTGTCTTATTCCATCTGCCAACCAAGCTTCTGCCTGCCTCGTCTCCTTTGGCCTTCACTGCGTCCTTGCATAATTATCTTTTCAATCATATCATCCTTCCGTCTACAAATGTGGCCAAAGAGGCTTACTTCGTATCATCGGGTCATCGCGTCGAGTCAGTTGGTCGCGTTACCCGACCTTTGGCGAAAACATGCCCCTTTGTTCACCAAATATCGGGGGTAATGTTTGTGACATAAACCTCACTCATCTACAAATGGTCTGATCTAATTTACCTGACAATTGACGTAAAAATCCTTCGTTTAAAAAAAGGTGTAACGCGACCACCCGACCGAACGCGACGACCCACTGATTCGAAGTAAGCCGGCCAACGTGATTCCATTTGCTACAATCAATCTTTTGACATAATAGCACATAGTATTTTCCGATCCAATCTCCATCATAATTCTATTCATATTTTTGACAAGTCCTTACATTGCTCATTGTCCCTAGCCCACCTTCTTCATCGTCATCTCACATCACTGTCTCTCAGATGCAACTCGTCCAGTAGCATGTCGAATCTTGATTTTGCATACTCGTAGAATTCATATTCTAGTTTCAGCTTCTTTGTCATATATGCCTTGACTTTAGGAGAGGGTGGGACATACCGGTGAGCGTGGGCTTTAACCTGGAAATCTAGAAATCGAACGAGGGAGATAGAGGGGGAGAGGGAGAGAGAGAGAAAAAAAAGAGAGAAAGAGAGAGAGAGAGGATGCGAGAGAATGAGAGAGAGAGAGAGAGAGAGAGAGAGAAAGGAAAGAGAGAGAGCAAAGGAAAGAGAGAGAGAGAAAAGGAAAGAGAGAGAAAAGGAAGAGAAGAACTATTAGTCATTGTCAAGTGTGGTCTTTTTCAGAATAGGATGCTGAAATAGCTTTATATTATGAACGTTAATGTAGGTTTCTATTCGAAAACACATCAAGACGATATTGGAGGGACTTTTAACTTTCTCTGGATTTTGATTTTACTTTGAAACAAATAACCAACAAGGAAAAAATAAATAAATCATAATTTGAAGACAAATGCTGCATAATACATGTATAACTGGGTCTTGGGACGGATGAAATTAAAATTAATAGGTCCAAAGGGTAAGGTAGGTGTTGTTTTGTATCCTTTTCAACTTCCTTTCCCTTTTACATGTACCTTCTTATTCTTCTTTTTTTTCTTGCTATAAGGTATGCGTCCCCATGCCCTCTGTACCTAGTTCGCCCACACTCTTTCTCTCCCCATAAAGCCTTTTAAAAAAGCTGTTGTATTGCCCTTTAGGTGCCAAAACATGGGTCGGTCGGTCGGTCGGGATTTTCTTTTTTAAACTTTTTTTCTTCTTTTTTCTTCCTCTTTGGGCTGATATTTTTTCTGAAAGCTTTAATATTATTTTTCTCAAAAAAACGGTAATTAAAAAAAAAAAAATTTAAAGCCGACCGTACATTTCATGATTTTGGGGTCGGTCGCAAAGGGCAATACATTTTTTTTAAAGGCCTAATCCATTCTTCTTCTATATGCCATCTACATGCATTCAGCTATATTGGGCCTATACATGTATGTCAACACTTTTTCACTTACCTGTGTCTCTACTCAGACGAGTGTATCTCTTCACTAAACCTGTAAACATCGATGGAAAAAGAAACTCCAGTACCCTCATAGATGAGTTATACTCCTCTACGATACCGACTGCAGTGTAGTAATCGAGGTTCCGCTTTGCCTCGTCTAAAGTCCACTGTGTTGCTTTCCTTTAATATTGATATTGATAATATATTTATGAAGAAATACCAATAACAACAACAACAACAATAAAATGATTTTTGTTATGTTAATAATGATGATGGTGACGACGCTGATGATGTTGATAATGATGATAATAATCATAATAACAGTAATAATAACGACAAAATACAAGAAAACAAATAATAGCACTTCAGAGGCAAGCTTTAAAGTAAGATTTGTAAAGCTCTAAAAAGCTTTACACCTTGCATTACTAATATGGCCTAAACGCGTTTTGGGGGATACAATGATACAAGAGTTTTCCAGTAGTATCGTTCTTCATTTAAAACAATTAATTGAGACTTCAACAATTTTCAAATTTTCCCTCAAAATGTTCAATCTGTTTTGTTTTTTTGTGAGTGCGCTTCTTAATTGAAATCAGCGGGCTGTCAATCAAAATATTTAACACCACATCACGAGTACTATAACACAATAATAATCTTTCTTATTGAGGTTAACTAAATATGGAAAAAGAAAAGACAATTCTTTACCTGCACCTAGGATGGAACCCACAGAAGAATCCGATCACGTAGCTTAAGACTTGAGGTCCTGTGCATGATAACCTTTCATGACTGACGCATTCATCAAAGGTCTACATAAAACATAAGAGTTAAGGCTTGGTCAGATATAAACGAGGTAACGGTACATGATAACCTTTCATGACTGACGCATTCTTCAAAGGTCTACATAAGGTATACTTGACAATATGGACAAAGGTCTGGTCACTGGAGCCATTTTTCTTGACCTGAAAAAGGCGTTCGACGTTATACCACACCCATTGATTATTAAGAAAATGTTATTGTATGGTATTGGGGGAGTTGAACTTGAGTGGTTCGAATCCTATCTATCTAATAGGCAACAATGTGTATTCTTGCAAGGGACTAAGAGTAATTTTCTAACTGTGAAATCAGGAATTCCACAAGGATCAATACTGGGGCCATTAATTTTCTGCCTCTATGTGAATGATATTTGTAACCTGCAACTCCATTCTAAGACAAAGATTTCCTTATATGCAGATGACACGGCAGTATTTCATCATGGAAAGGATTATAAAGTTTGTGAATACAATCTCCAAAAAGATTTTACCCGTATCTTGAAATGGCTAAAATACAATGGACTGTTTTTAAATGCAAATAAAACCAAAACAATACTATTTGGTTCCAAAAGAAAAATTCAAAATAATAATATTTGTATTCGTTACAGTGACAATGTACTCGACTCAGTCGAAAGTATGAAATATCTAGGTGTAACACTAGACAAAAGCTTAACATGGTCGTTACATGTAAAAGAAGTTGTTAAGAAAGTATCGGGTACGATTGCC